GTTTTAGGTAGGCGTGGCTGACTCTTAACTTTTATAAAGAATATCTCTTTGGATTTGAGACTTTAGTCTTTGCAACTTTACAGATCTTCTTTATGCAACAAGAGCTTTTAACACTCCAAAGAGAAAGGAAAAATTGAAATCGCATCATATGACCCCTTTAAAGTTGTCCAAATGAAGTTCTTAGCAATGCATGTTACTAATCAAAAATTAAGTTGTGATATATTTACGGTAGGAAATTTACAAAATATCTTCATGGAACAATTTTTTAAAAATTGAAAAATCAAAGAAAAATAGATAATTTTGACCTATAAAATGTATTTTTGGCTATTGCCACAAATATACCCGTGCTACTTATGACTGGTTTGGTGGTCCAGGGTCACAATTGTTCTACTAAAAATACATTAAAAACAGTATACATTTTATTTTCAAATTTAAATGATTTAAATTCATTTTTTTTAATGGCTTAAAGTAAAAATTTAGGTGGTGTATCTGTCCAGAATTTATCCAAATTAAACAGTCTCATTATAAAGTTTAAATGTTGGCATAAGTAGCTTGTAACCTTTTTATTTCTTCAAAAGGAGCATCAAAACAAGCAGCTTCTGTAATTTGATTAATATTTGAAAAACGTTTGTTAGTGTGGTGTAACCAAGATTCAGGTAGCCATTTTGTTTTGTTTTTTATGTGACAGCAAAACCTAGCATTACTGATATAAAAACAAACAGTTTATTCATTTTAAAAGGGTAACCACAAAACATCCTAATTTTAATATTGTTTAGGTTGTGTACACTCCATATATTGTAGTGCTTTTTCTTGATAGTCACACAACTTAGCATTTTTGGAGTCTTTAAATTGTAGAAAATGATATAAATCAATGTAATGTATGAAACCATCAAACACAAAGACAACATTTCCATGCCACGAACTAATTTATAAACGATTTCTCCTTTTAATTATCCCAAGGCATCCTTATTTGTCACTGACCCACATACATAAACAAATACAGCACTGAACAGATCAATCCATGCGCCTTATGGGTTCCCACTCCCACCGCAGCCTGAAATGAGTGTAACTTGAGAATTTAACTCTTTGCTTCTGGTTACCACAAGCCAAACCCCTTCTCTTTTTGCACAGGGGGGGCATGCGTTTGTCTGGAAGAAAACAACTCGCATGTCCCATTGAAAAACAGAGAGAGAGAGAGAGAGAGAGACAAAAGAAGCTGTGGCTACGTTGAGTGTCACGTCTTGGGAGCACGATAGCTGGCCATCCACTTGGTTTCTTTATTATTTTCATCAGTAAAACACATCAAGGGCGGGGGAGCTCTGAAGGCCGAACGCGTGCATTCTGATATTTGGAGGTGCGTCGTAGCGTGGGACTCGATACCGGACTGGGCGCATCTTATATCGCGCGATAAAGCAGAACAAAGGGAGTCTTGAGCGAGGAATCCTGGAGCCGCCGAAGCAGGGCCAAATGTTCTTCTGAGTCCCACAGAACGGCGCAAACTCTTCTGAAACAACATTTAAGGCTACACCGAAACAGAAGACCCTCGAACCGCAACAAACCCGTTATTCACCATGTTTCCCCAGAATCGACCCTCGGTAAGTTACCTTACTCCCTAAAATGACCGTCTACTTGATGCGCAATGCGCTTTTGTACGTTTCATATATAGGCTAAAACAAAGTCTGTTTGTACCCCGTGTCTCATTATTTGGGTTAAACGTTAACATGGATTGTGAAACTGTAGTTGGCCGAGTAGTGCTACTCATCAGGGCATGATTAGATCAAATCAAGCCACACTAAAATGTGCTTTTAAATAGGAGGTAACCAATGCGATCAATTTAATCAATGTGCTTAAAGGATACTATTTCTCCTTTATGTTACTGTTAGTGTACCCCATTTCATGTTGTAGGCAGATCTTTGTATTTCTGCTGTTTTAACTACTGATGTACTATAAGTTGCAAGAGGTGCCACACTTCTTTTCACCGTTCATACATTTAAGTTTTATTACTTTTCAGATTTCAGTACTGCATTAACCTCCAATGTGACCATCCTTTGATGCCGCTCTTTTAGACTTGTATTTTTTTCTTTATGCTCTAAGTTACATTTTTTTCCTCGTATGCTATTTTTGATTGTTGTTTTTAGCGTAAGGCATGCAACGTATCTTAAAGGAAGCTAAGCTAGTTGGGATTTTAGTATTAGTGGTATATCAGCTAGGCCAATAAATCAGCCAATGTTTGAACATTTTGAAGTTAATCGGTCGATAATTGCATTGCTTGGTCGATTAATACGTACGTTAGCTGTGTCAGAATAGTTCAAAAGTCCTGTCAATATATAGTGCACAATGTGTTATATAGCAAATATTGGGGAAACGATGTTTGGTTTAGTGTACATCTCAATTGCTGTAATTAAAATGTAAGCCTGTATCACAGATATATCGAGCGTGATTTTGGTCATCCTGCTCTCTGGTTATCGTATTGGCTGTTGAAAAACCCATATTGGTCAGCTGTTATTTAATAAATGTCAGTTATCATTGAACACACTGGACTGATTGAATCAAGCTATGTGTTAAAATCCTTCCTGAGGTTTCTCTACAGTCGCCATACACCCCTCCCCCAGGACCCCCAACCTTCCCTAAGAATGCTTTGACATTCATTTCCTAAGGGATGGAAATTAGATTCCACTGGGGTGTGCAATTTCGTGATCTGAAGGAGATGTGCGGTACATAGATGAAGTATTTTGGTTTTCCACCCCTTTTAGTTGTTGCTCTGCAGTGACCAGGTTGCTCGGTTCTTTTCTTATTTCTCTTTAGAATGATCGATTGGGTCCAACCTGTTTTTCCAGGGCACCCAGCTAGTTCTGAATATGGCCTCTTTCCACTCACCTTGAACAGCCCGAAACATGAAGAGGTGGTTGGGATGTGATACAGCTATGTTTCGTCATCTTAATAAGAGATCTTCTTTAGTCCAAATCATAGCTTTACGGTTTTAGATATAACCTGTAAGTATTCATATAAAAAAATCTGAAGAGAGATTAACTATGGCACAGATATTTAATTTAGTCAATTATGAGTGACTATGTCTTGATGAAATTGGAATAAGACCGTATGCGTTAAATAAAGAGGTTGAAACACAGACAGAACCAACCCACTCATTTCTCAGCGTGTGAACAAGGTTAATACATCCGAAAATTATCATCTTGTTTAAAACAAGCAATTTAATACAAAACCTTTTGTTTGATGTAGGGATGGCTTCAGTCAAAAATCTCTCTTCATTTCCCCTCTTAACCAAAACAATAATTTTCATGCTAAGTAGTAAGTCCATCAGTTTTTTGCTTTCAAAGTGCTTTTACCATTTGAATGGGAGAGTAAGTGGTTGTTGTACACAGTTTAACTTTAGGCTAATAGAGAGAGTAATACCTATGTTTTTTGGGGTTAAATAAGGTTTTTATATTCAGATAAGAGAGAAAATTATTTGCACCTGTATTTATATTGCTTTTGAGTAATGCAAACAAAAAAACGGGATTGTTTACATATAAGGCTGCATACGACTACTTTTACATTGTCATAGAAGTGAAAAATCTTAATCGGCAGGTTGAAATAGTGGGCAGTTCCTACAAATTGCCTACTGACACCTGCTGATTGGTCCTAATTCTGGCTTCTGGAGGGATCTGCTCCAGCTAAGACATCTCCAGCAGAGGAGCACCACTATCCTTCCTATGTAAGGTATTTCTCAGTATTCCTCCCTGACGCTGTTCCCATATCCTCCAGCCTTCTGTATTCAGAGGAATCCAAGTGAAATCAGGGCATGGCCCATTCCGGCCATGGCACCCTCAGCCAAGTCACCCTCAGTTTGCAAAAGTCATTGGGAGAAAGCAGGGAATTCCTTGAAACCTAAAGAACAAACAGGCTGCGGGTTACCTCATAAAGGAAGCACCTAGAGCAATTACCACAGCTGACAAGCCAACGTCGCGGCGCTGCTAATGTATCCTGACAGCGGGGAAATTTGAATAACGAGCTTGCAGAGAGGATAGAGAAAAGATGTGTGATGTTAATGAAGCAGGTGCCTGGCACCATACTACACCCCACATCCCCTCCCCCATCTAAGTAAGGGATTACTGGGGCATTCCTTAAAGCTCCATGCTGCAATGAAACAAGGCCGTACCTAGGTCAGATTCTCGGGGAGGTTCTTTAAAATGCAAATGGCTGCCGGTTGTTGACACTGTATTCGAAAGATTTCATATACAATGCAGGAACTTCAAACGTTGCTTCGGAAAGCATCGCCTGGTTCCTTGGATTTGTGTGTACACCTAAAAAGAGGTTCTTATTCAAATAGTTCAGAGATACAGAAAGTCCATTCCAATTATTTTTAGCCTCAGTCCTTCTCCACCCCATTTCCTAGGGTGGATGTTTATGTGAAAGCTTAATTTTTTAAGGAAAACATGATATAATTAGCGGGCTTCACTTGGTGAGGCTCCCATGAAAAGACACCTAAAGAGAATATACAACTGTTTCTAAGGCACAGTTATAATTTAAACAATTAACTCAGTGAAGAGTTTGGAGAATCCCAAATTGGGCTCTGTAGCTATTCTCTGGGAATGGAAACGTCAAGCGTGTGGTCAGTTTTTTCCAAGAGATTTGTGTGTGAAAGCAGAAACGGCTTTATCAAAGGTTAGGCCACCATGTTGACAGGTTTTGGGATGTTGGTCATCATGGCCGGCCGCTGCATTTCACAGGCTGTGTAGCAATTCTCGGATACAGGCCATGTGGGAGTCTTGTAGGCCCCTCTGCCAGACCTCTTACGGAAAGAAAGAAGCTGTGGTTTGGACAGCTCAGTGGACATAGGCGCAGTAGTGTTTAGCAGCTTCTTCTTCGTTTAGTGTCTTTGTAAGTGGGTGGGCATGGGGATTTGGAAGATCATTATGGTTTGATGCAACAAAACATGTAATTAGAGGAGAAGAAATGAAAACATTGCATGAAACATTGCATGCAGCATTGCATGCACACTCACACTTTCCAAGACACATTGTGAGTGTGGTAAAGAAACGAACATGGACATGTCTATAATCTATAGACTGGGCTTTTCATAGTATCTAGACAGCTCAAGCTATAATTTCAAGCAGACTCCAACTTTATCGTGACCTGTCCCTTACTAGAGGTCATGTGAGAACTTCTTTGCAATTCTTCACTCGTCCAAAAAGGAGAGAATTTTGCCATGATTGAAGTCATTACTGCCTCAAGCTGTCTTTTTCTTTTGTGACACGTGTGCATGGCATAATATAAGATTTAATCAGTTCAGTCAACTTGGGTTTTCAGAGTTTTGCCATAATGCAGATTACTATGTCTGTGACTCTCGCTAAGACGAGAGTGGCCCACAATGCCCTGCCAGGTCCATGCCAGGTTAAACCCTTGTTGTGAAACTGTCGAGGTAAAGTGGACCATTTATTGTGACAACCATCAAGGAAAGTTGCCCAGAGAATTTACAAGCCGATTTTGCCTGTGAAGCAGGTTATAAGAACACTGAATCAAAATGGCTGCAATATTGAGACCGGACACTAGGGCTGGACAATTTTTTCAATAACGGTGATATGATTTTTAAACACATTTCCGATATTTCAAAAAACATTTTCGTAAACTGAAAAAAATAAAAATAAAAATGATCAAAATAAATTGATGTGTGTAATATATCGTGATATAAATTTTGGCCATATCGTCCAGCCCTACCGGACACACAGAAAGAACCTCAATAATGGCCTCTCAGAGGTGGTGACACTCTGTGGTTTTGGAAACCTGAATGTCTAATTAATGAACATTGAGTCTCCAAGAAGCTCCATGCGACTCGCTCTTTGGTCTCAGCCTTTCAGTGAAGGCCTGCTCTCTTTGTCGTTCCTTTTTTCTTTCTTCCGGAAGCCTCTTTGCACCTGTACGCAAAATTAAATAAAAAGAGGTGAATATCAGAGTGAGAGGCTGGGTGGGGTAGAGAGAGAGAGGAGATAAAGAGGAAGAAGGGAATAGAGCCAAGTGTCATTCCCCCTTCCTCCCGCCTCTTCCCCGTCAAAAGGCCTTCCTCCTCTTGTTCTCCAGACTCTTTTCTTTGGCTTGTGAGGAGTAATTGTAGTGTGTGTGTGTGTGCTCCCTGCTAGGCCAGAGCTGTGAGAGCCGGGGATCTGGACAGCAGATTGAAATGCAGGGCTGGAGAGAGGAGCTCGTTAGAGTCTCTAACAATGCGCCATGTCTCCCATGAGCCGAAGGCCGAGAGGCTCCATTCTCCCCGTGTAGTTTGGTCCAAGCCCCCCTCAAACTGCCCCCCCAGTACTCCAAGCCTGGTGCCCCGACATAGGGTGACCCCTTTCACCCACAGACACTCTCCACCCCCCATTCGATATTTGCAGCTACATCTGTCCCCATCCCTCCAAGACCAGCTTTAAGCTTAAACTGTCCATGTACTGTGTCTTTCATTTTCTCCGTAACTCTTGGATAAGTCAAGGCCTTTACAGTGTTAATGCAGGTCACACATGCTCATAACACCCTATGACACTTTGCCAATGGTTAGCTGTTCAAGTGCTTGGCAGTAAATGCGACTACCGTCAAAACCAAATGCTCCATGCTAATTGAAGTAATGGGGCTTTATGCGCTTTCACATTTGATCAATCATGTCCCTTTTGGCGGTTTTCCCCTCTTTTAGCTCATTAGAAGAAGAGTTTCCCATGAGAAGTGCGAGAACCCCTGTGAGGTGTAGTCATGAGCTTGAGGACCTTCGTCAGTAGAAGTGCAGAAGACAGATAGACGGATGGACAGGCCCTACTGTACAGCACATAGGCTTTTGTTTGCCTGTCTGTCTGCATTACCCTGAGGCCAAGCTCCTAATTGCTGGAGCTGGCGGAATTCAGTTAGCTTGGTGGGGTCCCACCCTTCTTGCGCCCTCTTCTAATCCATGCTTAATTTTAAACAAATGTCTTAATTCTAGCAGCAAGCATGGTCCCCACACCAATCCCTCATCCTCAGCAAACCCACAACCAATGTGATATAGACACGCATCTGTCTGTAATGCTTTATCTGTTTACAATGCAGCCTATGTCATGGAACTACCCCAACCCCCATCCTCTCTCATTCTTTCATTGGTTTCTCTCTCATTCTGGGGAGCTTGTCTTTCATCAGTGTCCTTCATTTCTGCCATGTGCACAGCACTCTCTATCACGCTCACAGACCTCTGTGCAATGAGTTCCTCAAATCACGTTCGCACTGAATGAATTGTCTGGTTTTTGAAGAATACATAATTCACTGTTTTAAGCCGAGTTTCATTATAAGTGTTGAAATGATTAACAGATCCAGGTCCATGCGTTAGGCCCGACAGTTGCCAGAAATCTTCATCCATTTAAAAACAAATTTCAGATGCTAACTCTCCTTTATTTTCCCACATAGGCACCTTTGCAACCACCCCTTGGGTCCTCTGCTTCAGCTGCTGCAGCTGCGGCCGCTACAGCATCGGGGTTGACCCAACCTCTAAAACTCACTTACCCCGAGACCCTGGACCGCATAAAGGAGGAATTTCAGTTCCTGCAGACACAGTATCACAGGTACAACCCCCTTTCTAATACATATATGCGCTAAGCTCTAAGATGTCTAATGTCAGTATTATCGAGAATCATTATTCCCAAGCCTGTGATTTAGTCATCCCACGCGAGGGTGTCTTTGCAGAATTCCTGATGCAGTGCAATTGTTGGGCTATAAAAAAAAGGTTAAAATGTCAGTGGTTAGAGTTTTCAGGTTGCTTTCTTGTGGTAGCTAGTTTTGTGCTTTCCCGAAGATGTGTGTGAGCTCTAACCAGCCATACCAAGATGACAGACTTCACCCCCAACAGCTAGCCATCCATCTGATCAACCTTCTACACCATGGGTGTCTAGTTCTGCACCTGGAGGGCCATTCTCTTGCAAAGTTTAGGTCTAACAGTTGTTAAATGCACCTGAACTGGTCTTCTGGATTATTATAAACTTCCATGGGAGGTTATTGCAAAAAGGTGGCCTTCCAGGAGCAGGATTGGACGCCTCTATTCAACACCAGCTGGAATTTCTAACAAGTAGGGCATAGAATTTTTGTTAGTATTCAACAGAAATCCCTTGCTGTAGCTTCTGAATGGGAAAGGCCCACCACATTCTCATAACACACACGTGCACCTTTGATTCTGTGGGTATGTGTTTGATGTGTACTCTGAGGCTGAGGAATGTGGCCAGACCAGGCATGACCCATGTATGATTTCTGGTAGGTGCTGGCATCCTCTCCAGTATGGTAGTCCATGCCCCTTCTGCACACTCTTACACCCCTCCTTATTACTGGCAAGCTTTCACACGGCTGCAGCTTTGATTCCTCATGCCAGATTCGGCAAATCCACCCAGTCCCCACATTCCTATTGTTAAGTCTCTTGTGTTCCCGCCTTCGGAGTTCAGTCAAATAAGCTCAAAAATCCTCTGTACAAGCACAGTTCAGCCCTGCTGATGGATGCTGGTTTTACACTTACGTATATCTGCCTGGATAGTTATGGTTGAATTTGTTCAAAATCTTTCCCAGGAGCCAACAGCGAAGCAGTTACTTTATGCACCCTTCTAAATTAATTTAATGGATAATACGGCCCTCTATTGGTCTCCCAGTGAGTTTTTAAGAGTTGTTCATCTGCTCTTGCTTTTTGCAGTTAGCTGTTGCTCGGATATCTAATGAATCTGGCTTAAGCCTGATGCAGAGGACCAAACACCTGCACAATTGTTATCAAATTAGTGCAGGAGGTAATTCTCTTGTTGGGTGTTTATTATTACAGCATTTCAACATAAGTTTAATACTTTACTCAAGACCTAATAAACTGCATTTGCATTAGTAAAATAATGTATGATCCAATCAGCACAGTATGCAAATACTTCATGCAAGTTATGCTTGTTAATCAATATTAATTTTAAATGTGATTTTGGTCTGAATTAAAAGAACGATGTGGGCACTTTATTTCTTTCATTCTTTTCCATTATATTTCCTTTTTACCATCTAGAGCGACAAAACAAAGAGCAGAAGATGTGCATTAGGTGTGCAATTGATGCTTTTGTTTCATTCTCGTGCTGCCACAGAGAGTGATGGGAAATGTAGATAATTTGGCTAAAACCGTGGCATTTTCTGGCAAGTCTTATTACTGTCTTTCATTAGTGGTGCACAAACTGTCTGAATACTACACCGTAGAGTCAAGATTGACAAGTATTATGATCAATAGCACTTAGCTTCTGCCATGAAGTTCTAATTGATGTGCCTCCCAACTCAACTTATGGGCTCGAAGAAAATCCAGTTTCCCCACTCATAATTATAGCCAGTATTGCTAATGTATGCTTATCCCGTAAATACCATCTTTCCAACACAACAAAGCAGCATTATAATTTGAATGTCAAACATTGTGAGTTCAAGTCAATGGGTGATTTTACAGTTTGACTTAAATTTCTTGATAGCACTGTAATTAGCCCCTGAATGGCACTTCGTGAGGCATTACAATGTGAAGTCTGAAATCGCAGACCTTCTTTAGGTCAGACAACAAGATTAGCAGAGGCCTTCCCATGGTGTTCAGATGCGGCATTTCCCATAAGAATTCTCCTGCCACGGAGCTGGTCCTGCTCCAGGTAGAACGTGGCAAGCACACACGGGACACGCCAGACAGGCACATTATGTTGGCTATATGTGGCATGGCTTAGATTTTAATTTTAGTTCTCATAATTTATGTCTGGAGGCTGATTGTTGTTGGATTAAAGGACAGGAAAGAGTCAGAGCTAAAGAGATTTGGCAAGATGAGCTGGGGTGAGGTATGTTTGTGTGTGGGCACTGGTCTATGTGAGAAGCACACTTAGGCCGAGGTCAGGTTACAGTGCAAGGTCCGGCAGGAAATGTGAACTGGGCAGGAACTGCATAACAAAGTGAGCTGCTCCATACCATGCTGTGTTGCTTGCAGCGCTGCACATGTTTTGGATATGTCTCTGCGTGTTCGTGATCGTGTGTTTAGGTTTGGGTGTTTTTTGTGTAGAAGGCCTCTAATCAGCAGACAGGAGAGCTTTAGACCGGAGGTTCTCATTACAGTAGTTCTTGCTTTGCCCAGCCCTTTTCTGAACACACAAGCTCACACACATCAGCTCACCTACCTTGCTAATGTGTCCTCTGGGTTTGCAATGGCTCAGACATAAAGACAGCCAACCCACAGACAGCCACCCGCACACAAAGAGCATTGCGCTGATACCCATGATTCCTTCTTTGTGCCAAGACAGAGTGGACTTTTTAGTGGATTCTAGGCATCTTTATGCAGTCTGGGGTTTGTGGTTTAGGTCTGCTTTGCTGGATACATCTGTATGTGTGTGGCCCGGCATTCCCCCTTCGAGCGCGTGTGTATTTAAGCGCATGTGTTTGTGGTGGGTGGTTTGGTTCGCAATTGCGCTTTAATGTCGGTGTGTGTCTGACAAGAGTTTTTCATCAGAGATGTTTGCTGTATACTTGCATCGACAGTGCTGTTTTAGTTTCTACCATGTGAAATAACGTGGGCATGGTCTTGTTTTATGGCATTACGGTTTGCCACCTTAATGTATGGCTAGGAAAACTTGTGTGTGCATTGTACGATTGTTCAGGTAGCTAGCTATAAACATGCTAACCATTACATGCAATTGTTTTTAACTTGATTAACAGTTCAGCAGTCTTGGACCTTAGTATTTAATTTCTGACAGGAATGAAGATGAGGCTGTGAAAAAGACGTACAGTGGGTTCAGTGGATTGTACTTTTGTTTAACATAGCAATTGTTCAGCTGACGAAACATCTTTCTGAAAAACTTTCAATAGACAAATGTAGACAAAAAATGACCTGATCTAGGAATCAGTATGCATCTATGGCTCTGGCATTTGTTGACCTAAAGAAAAATAACCATTAGCGCCCCCTGTGGCAATGCTGAGAATGCAACATTTAATTATGTTGCTTTATAAATCTGTAATTTCTGAATACATGAAATGCATATGTGTTCATGCTCTAGCATAGAGCACATTTCAGGCTTCAAAGAGTGTATGAGTTTGCGTGTGCTGAAAATTTTCTGCAAAGGCAAAACCTTCATCAATCCTTTCTCTGGCAGTAATGGGGTTTAATTTAGCTCTGAACTGGACTATTTCACTAACTAATCACTATGTGTGTGTGCGCTTTAAGCAGAGAGATGAAAAAGCACTACGAGAATACAGAAGACACAAGGGCTTTTACTAATGAGGCACAGGCATGGCAAATGAAGATGAGATCTGTGAGGAAGTGTCCTCACTTTCTCTAATTGGACTGATTCTCCTCACCGTCAGATTGAACATTTGCTTTTTCACTCAGATTTCTCATTCAGGCATTACGCTTCGAGTCTTCGTTATGAATTCACTCTGTTGTGGTGTGCGAGATGATTAAAAGTGCAGTTAGCCCGTGTGTACATATTGAAGTAATGGTGCTTTGCTGGCAGGATTGCTGTGGCGCAGGCAGCCTGCAGATTTGATGCACGTTCAGATGATCATCTTATCGGCTGTCAGGGAAAGAAAGAGACCTCTCTTTCTCTTTTTTTTTTTTTTTTTCTCTTTTTTTTCTTTATCTCCCTTTCTCATTGTGTGGTTTTGAGGTTTAGTAATTAAGGGTGGGAATCTTTAGGTACATCGTTTATGTGCCTTAATTCCATGTCAGTTTGGGTTGATTTTAGGGCAGGGTTTTGACACAAATTTCATGATTCAATTCTCATTCACAAGCTTTCGATTCAATTCAATATCGATTATTTTGGATATAGGGCTGGGTTTTGACACAAATTTCACAATTCGATTTGATTCTCATTCACAAGCTTGCGGTTCAATTCGATTACCGATTCGATTCAATATCGATCATTTTGGATATATATCATGTAGGCCTACGGTACATGCCAAATTTTCTCAAGGAAAAAAAAATCTCTCAACTAATGCTGTAAAATATACATGAGAGTCAGTTGGTACTACCATTACTATAATTGAAGGTTAAAATTGACTGATTTGTTAAAATTACACTTAATGAATTTTTTAAAAATAATAAAGTTACAATTACATAATAATATTTCTACTTCAGTTCGTTTTTTTGAAATATAAACATAATGGTGGCTGTCATAAAAACATAAATTAAATTAACATAATTTATCCAAACATAAATTAAACATTGAAGAACAGTAACATTTATAATGAATATGTTATATGGTGCATACAGGTGCATCTCAATAAATCTCCATGCCATGCCGAATTGAGGCAGTAATTAAAGCAAAAGGAGCCCCTACCAAGTATTGAGTACATGTACAGTAAATGAACATACTTTCCAGAAGGCCAACAATTCACTAAAAATGTTTTTTTTTATTGGTCTTATGAAGTATTCTAATTTGTTGAGATAGTGAATTTGTGGGTTTTTGTTAAATGTGAGCCAAAATCATCACAATTAAAAGAACCAAAGACTTAAACTACTTCAGTCTGTGTGCATTGAATTTATTTAATACACGAGTTTCACAATTTGAGTTGAATTACTGAAATAAATGAACTTTTACATGACATTCAAATTTATTGAGATGCACCTGTATATTTAGCAAAATGCCCCTCTCTACAGTTTATTTTTCTATCTGACTAAGTTTATGGTCACCAAATAATTTTTTTCTGAGGTAAATTTGACATTACGTGACATTGTTTACAAGCCGTTATATTGACGTCTTTGTGCGGCTGAAACACTGATTGAGCGATTACGTGAGACAGGATACGGTAAAGTTATACTCTTTCTTTTAACTTACCTTCGGATGTGTAGTCATGTTTATTTTGTGCTGAAAATGGTATTAATGTGGAGGAGATGTTCACGTGCGCCTCACGCTGCCGCATCTGTTGATCGAGGTGCTACAGCGATCTGTCACTCCACATTAAACAGCGCCAAAATGGCATTTATTGTTTGAATACTGCAATACAATGGAAAGAATTTGAAATCTGAGACTTTGTTTCATATTAAAAGTACCAAAGCACAATGCTTATTGCGGTTTATTGGATGGGAGGTGCGCTTCAACGTTCCGTCCATTAACTGAAAACAGGCTAGAATAATCGATTCTAGGGATTTAAGAATCGATATCGTTCCGTAGAAATGAGAATCGATTAATGTCGAGATATCGATATTTTTTTACCCAGCCCTAGTTGATTTCAATTGATTTTGGTGTTTTAGACAAAATATTATAGAATTTGAAAAGCACCCTCTCGCACTTGCATTACACCTGTATTTACTACTTTTTTGCTTTGTCACCTAACACACATTTAACCATTCAAAGTTCAAGCGTCATGATGCATGCTAAAAGAGACTTGCGTTATAAAGTACACCACTTATAATTAAAGATGGGAACAACTTTTCTAATCTTTGACATTAAGATCAATAATACCAAGTTGTCACATGGTTACTAAGGGTAAAAGCATAGTTCACCCAAAAATGAAAATTGTCATTAATTACTCACTCTCATGTCGTTCCAAACTTGTGAGACCTTCGTTTATCTTCTGAAAACAAATTAAGATATTTTTGATGAAATCCGAGAGCTTTCTGACCCTGCATAGACGGCAACACAACTACCACATTCAAGGCCTAGAAAGGTAGTAAGGACATCATTAAAATAGTCCATGTAACATCAGTGGTTCAACCAAAAGAAATAAAGTCATTATTTTTCGTTTTCTTTGCGCACAAAAAGTATTCTCGTAGCTTCATAAAATTAAGGTTGAACCACTGATGACACATGGACTATTTTAATGATATCCTTACTACATTTCTGGGGCTTGAACGTGGTAGCTGCATGAACAAAGGTCTTACGGGTTTGGAATGACATGAGGGCGAGTAATTAATGATAGAATTTTCATTTTTGGGTAAACTAGGCCTATTCCTTTAAAATGGTAAATTGTTGTAAGGGGTAGAACAACTAATGCTCAGTGATTGTTTGGACTTGCAGAACCTTCCAGTTGCTGTTGTTTATTGCGTGTCGAGGTGTCCTGCCTGCGTTTAACAGATTTGACCTTTTGAAGTTTAATTCCACATTAGCCTTGATTTACCTCTCTAAATCCACTCCAGCCTCGTGGCATGCTGAACTCCCTATGCCCTTTTTCCAAGTGGGAGACGCTGCAGAATTTAAATGATGGTATTTATATCTCGTAATCTATGTAAATATAAGCCCAAAAACAGATCTAGCATCTTTATCCAATGAACCTGACAATATTCTGAGCTGTCATGCTGTTTTCTCCAACTTCCCCTACGATTTTGCACAAGTGAGCGATGTCTTCACCGCATCGCATAATTGAGGCCAACTCATTCAGGCGAGCTGGGAAATAAATAAATAACGAGCACCGATAGATTTGTCAGTTCTTGGAAATCCTGCGATGGGGGCGCTCTTCCTCACTCGCGGTGATAAATGAGTCAATTATCGACGGTTGTGCGCAGTCAGTGAAGGAGAGCGGATGTGCCGTTATTACCTGTTGCGGTGCAGTAATGTTGCGGTATTAATCATATTCTAATTTTCCCAGGCCCTCCTGCGCGCTCGCATAAAACTGACGGCTGCAAATAAGTCCGTGTGTAAAGAGCTGAAATACAGCCAAGAGACGAGAGCGAGTGTGCTGTTTTGATTGTAGTTGATTGATTCAATATTGGTGTGTGAGGTATCTGTCTATCTGTCTTTGTCTTTGTTTGTCTGTCTTTACATCTAATTAATTTGTCTTTGTGCATCTGTCTGTCTATCTGTCTGTATCTGTTTATATCTATCTATCTATCTATCTATCTATCTATCGTGTCCATCTATATTTTGATACTTTGTAGCTATATATCTTATAAATGTCTGTCCATCTGTTTCTCATCTTGTCTGTCTTCATTTTTGGTCTTATTCATTATCTATCTATATAGCTGTTGGTTTGTCTCTCAGTCTTTGCATCTATTTTTTGTTTCTTTGAGTGTCTGTTTTACTTCTATCTGTCTGTGTTTGTCTTTCTGTGTCTTTTTTGTCTCTTTGTTGTTGTTTTTTTCCGTATATCTTGTATGTGTTGGTTTGTGTCTCTGTCTGTCTTTCTATGATTTTGTCTTTACATGTCTAACTTGTATTTGTCTTTCTATATATGCATCTGTGTCCCTGCCTATCGTTCTGTCTGTCTTTTCAGTCTTTCTGTATGTCTCTTATGTCATCTGTTTATCTGTATGTGTCTCTATTTCTGTCTTGTAAATCTTATGGGGCTATATATAGCCTAGTGAATATCTATCTGCCAATCTGTCTCTTTCTGGCCTTCTGTCTTCATTATCTGTCTGTCTTTACATCTATCTTGTCTTTCTATATGTCTGTGTCTGTTTTATTTTTATCCGTCTTTCTATTTTTGTCTCCATCTTGCGTCTCTGTGTTCCTTGTCCGTCTTTACATCTAACTTGTGTTTGACTATTTCGATCTGTGTCTCTACTCTATATCTTTCTGTCTGTCCGCATCTTGTCTATATTGTCTATCTTTTATGTCTGTCTAAATCCTATGTCTACATCTTTTGTCTTTCTTTATTCTGTTTTTATATCTCTGTATATTTATGCGTGTCTATTTCTGTCTTGTAAATCTAATGTGTCTATATATTGTATATCTGTCTGTCAGTGTGTCTCGTTCTCTAGTTAATTTTCTTTCTTCATTATCTGGCTTTGTCTCTCGGTTTGTGTTCCTATCTCTTTCTGTGATGTCTTTTTATTTGTCTGTAATTGTCTGTTTTTGTCTTTGTCATCTCTGTCTATATATGTCTGAACACCCAAACAGTCCAGCAGAATCGCTCTTTCAACCAATCCAATAAAACATATCTCTTTCTGTTTCTTCTGCAGTCTGAAGTTGGAGTGTGAAAAGCTGGCCACAGAGAAGACAGAAATACAGAGACATTATGTCATGGTAAGACAAACACACACACACACACCCCAACTTAGTTTTGCATCAGGCATCAGATGCAACACGCATCCAAACAGCAGACATCTTTCTTCAGCCCTCAATTAGAAGTCTTTCAAACGCAGCTCATCCATCACAGAGAATGAGTTTTCAGAGCTGCTGCCATGTGCCTCAGTGCCCACAGATATGGCAGCTATGTGTGCCTGGCATGCCATTTGCTCTTGGCAGACGGCTTAACCCCTTTTCTCTGTCCGTTTTCTTTCTCTCCCTTTTTTTTTTTCTTCTTGGCTCATAATTTTTTTTTAGTGTGGGAGTCGCCTAGCAACACCGTGGGCTCTTGGCAGAGCTGGTGAATACAACAGGCAGCTGTCAGGCCAGCTTCTTTTATTGAAAGGGTCTTTCTATCCCTCCGTCTCTGTTGTTTTTACCCTTTTCTCTCTGCCTCTCCTTTCCTTTTTACTTTATTCTCTCTATCTAATAAAATTACACTTTTTTTTTTTTTTATCCTCCATACCAGAATTTAACCAGCTAGCTGAAAGGAATTGTTTACTAAAAAGTGAACCTTGTTTATTTACCGACATGGAACAGACAAGTAGGAGTTTTTGACTAAGTATTTGAACAACGAATAGACAAAAAAGTAGACCACATTGCTTGCTTCATATGGAAGTCTTATGAAGCCATTTTTGTGAGGAACACAGATTCTCTCAGACTTGTGAGAGAATATTATCAGGGTGAAAGGTGAATATTATCAGTAAATGTGGTGTTGAGCTGTGTTCTTTTCTTCATGTGGACTACATTTTTATAAAATACTCTTTAAAAATAACCACACATGGGTTTAGGATGATTTTTTTTTTTATCAGCTCTAAGCTGATTTCTATGGAAGCCCATTTCCGCCACTGAATAAAAAAATAAAAGATGTAATTGTGACTTTTTATCTCACAATTCTGACTTTTTTTCTCAGAATTGCGTGATATAAACTCGCAATTGTGAGTTAAAAAGTCATAATTGAGAGATATAAACTCGCAATTCTGAGAAATAAAGTCAGAATTGCGTGATATAAACTCGCAATTGCGAGACATAAAGTCGCAATTCTGATAAATAAATTCAGAACTGCGAGATATAAACTCACAATTCTGACTTTTTTTCTCTCAATTGCGAGTTTATATCTCGCAATTCTGACTTTTTTTCTCAGAATTGTGAGATATAAACTCGCAATTGCTAGTTATAAAGTCAGAATTTTGAGATATCAACTCGCAATTCTGAGAACATATCAGTCTTTTTCCCCCCTCAAAATTGGGCTTTAACTCGCAATTGTGACTTTATATCTCGCAATTCTGATTTTATAACTCGCAATTGCAAGTTTATATCTCACAATTCTGTGAAAAAAATCTGAATTGTGAGATAAAAAGTCGCAATTACCTTTTTTTTTTTTTAATTCAGTGGCGGAAACAGGCTTCCATAGATTTCTGCAATTTGTGGCAAGGTCTGCCTTTTCTAACAGTGTGATTACATTTACCATTGTTTGGCCAATTTTTGCAACACATTTCAATAGGAATCCATGCAATCAGAAATTTCAGATGAGAGTGAAAGTTTCCTCAGGCAGATTTCGCAACAGGTTCAAGTTGGTCACACATTCGTCACAATGAAAGTTGAAACCTGTTTAGTTTGAGTGTAACTTCTGTCATATATCGCTATACTGTTGACTGCAAAAAAATATATTTTTCTGTGCTCACACAGAAGCACACGGGAGCGTTTGAAAGCCGCGTATATCAGCGGATCCCTAATATATCTGCACATAGACGATCGCTGGCAGACGCCTGCTTTCAAACGCTCCTGTGTGCTTCTGTGTGAACGCTTCGCTCGGTGAAGACCGTGAAGCGATGATCTTTGTAGCCAATCACAGTCATATCTGTTGAGTGCGTGAACACAATGGCCAATCAGAGGTGTTTAAGAATCCGCTCAACAGCATTCAAATGTTAGCGGGAAATGGACATTTTTAAAATTTCAGTACGGACTGGTACCGAAGTCAGTACTTTTGACGACACTACACACCTCTGCAGAGTGACTTGATTTCCAATGATTTCCAAACAAATAATGACACTAATTAACATTTAAAACAGCCAACTCGAATACTCCTAGTATTTGTCAGTTTAATGATATCCTTTTCTTTTTTTCAGTACTACGAAATGTCCTACGGCCTCAACATAGAGATGCACAAACAGGTAAGTTTGCTGGTTCCCTCTGCTGATATCTTTTGATTTAGCAGTTTTACACCAATTATACTGAAACAACAGTCAAATGTTAAGGTAAACACATTTAAAGGGATAGTTCTCTCAAAAAAGAAAATTGTTGTCATTTACTCTCCCTCATGTTGTTCCAAAACTGTACGAGTTTATTTCTTCTGTTGAACACAAAAGTAGGGCTGTCACAATATCAGATTTTTTCATTACATTGTTTTATCATGGCCTCAAAAATTCACGATAATGATATCTCGTGATATCTATAGAAATCTTTCAAAATTAAAATAATAATAAATCATTCTATCAGTCAAATTAATCTTTATTTGTTTTTTTTTCTTTTTTGACCAATGAATCGCACCATTACATACAAAAGGAACAATTACACTAAACAGAAGCAACTAAAATGCTAACCGTTTTTAGTTTAGCACCGTGTCAAATACATATTATGAGAATAACTACATATTTTTATTCCAAACTTGTGTTACGGTGTCGATCGAGTGTTTGAAATAACTTCCGTCTGTGAACTGATAGTTATTTTATAGTATTCTATGCAGTGATGAAGGTGATGTCGATTTCCATTGTGATATAAATATACATTATCATATGAAAATACCTGAAATGGCTTGAAGAACACCGATAAACCATATACTGTTGTAACTGTGTGCTGATTCTCATGATATTTCATCATACAAAACATTTTTTTTTCTGCATTTTATACAGCAGGATGCTTTTGTCCATATAAAAGATTTCATGGAAAGTTATTTGTTTTATTAGTCCTATGAGTCTTACTTGTGGACTTTCTGCGCGAGGGTGCCCTCCGGTGTAGAGTATGAATGAAACAAATCTACGGTGGCCGAGAAGTGCAAAACAAATCACAATTCTGAAAACAAAATAACAAATTACAAACGCAAATGCAGGTCTAAAAAACAAAATAACAATTCAGAAAACACAACAACAATTCAGAAAACACAATGACAAATTCGAAAACAAAATAAGTCAGAAAACACAATGACAAATTCGAAAACAAA